CAATGATTTTATTAATTAGAGGAGTTATCCAAATTAGTAAAGTAGCGAAATATAATTTTCTAGGTTGCATTTAGAGAAATAGTTTTTTGATGATGAGTGAGTTAGTATGTGAAAGTTGTAACAATTTATAAATATCTAGTATATACAGTATATTCCCCCTCTACATTATATCTTATATTTTCTTTTTTATGATCTTTATTACATATAGAGCAGGGTATTAAATAATCAAAGTAATCTTTATTCCCAGTACTATATTTTAAAGATAAATTTTGAAACTGCTCCAGTACCATTTTAATTACATGTTTTCGTTTCTCTTTGGGATCATCAGGTAAAATAGAGATAGGAGGTCGAGATTTATTGTCAGAGGCAGTCGCAAGGTGGTTAGATGTATTTACCTGTAATATACTTCAGCTTCTGGCAATTTCAAGGAAGCAGAGTTTCGAGCCATTGACCCATGAATCTGTTGCAATTACTTTACTTGCCTGTGGTCACTTATATCATCATATAAAATTAGTCCAAAATGCCCGAAACCTGGTTGTATGAAAGAGATAAAATCTTTGATCGATAGCACGCCCGAAAGTCAGGATATCGATTTAATGGAAATGTCACCTACGATATTTAAAAGCCCTGTGTTTACCCAGAGTGATACATAAAAAAAGCGTACTAATGATCTAAAATTATTTCCGGATAAACCATCTAAAGAAGCAAGCCGGTTAAAAAAGAATCACATATATTAAAAGATCTTATCCACCGAACCCGAAACTCCACAAGATCCTGTAATTAGAAAAGAAAATACTGATAATTTTATCGATTTATATAATAATTAAACCCAAAATGAAATTACAAATCGAGATGTAACCAGTTATTATCTTTTCGGTAAAGCACTTGAGGAAAGGTATGATCGTTATAAAAAAATAATCATAAACTTACAGCCCAGGCATTAAGTAATAAAGAAGTTAGATTGCAACTTCCACATTCTGTTAGTGATGGAATTGGGGTTGATGAGATTCAGCGTGTTAAATCGATTACAGCTTTATCAATTTCGGAATTAAGTCAAAATGAAATTGATGCTATATTAATCCATTTTTCTCAAAAATGATTTTTTTATATTAATAGCGGGTAAATAACTCATCTCAAAAATGTATGATGCTGGGTCTTAGCCTTATGAGGTTTGTTTATAAACGATCACAAACTTAAGTGCCACACATTACAGGTTTGTAAATATAATAAAAAAATTTTAGCCACGTATTTATTATTTTTTCTGATAACATTATAATGAAAAAATATAATAATACAAATAAAAAAAGTCGAAATTACTTCGAGAAGTGGCATATCTTTAGAGGTTGGAAGCATGGGTGTGAGGTTTGTGATGAATGCAATTATCATTCATACCTACAGTAGGGGACAAAAAAAATTGCCTAATTTTTCATGTGGTTAAAATCAATATAATACGTCTTCGTACTAACTTGGCAACGATTTGCGTTTTGTTTATACACCGCAGGTACTTGAGGTTTTTTTTCCCAACTTCACACGTTCCAGTATGTTCTGGTTTATAGCCTAAACATGCTGGCGAAATGTCGGTTGCCAAGAAAAAGAGTCAACGCGAAGTTCTTTTGTATTATTGGAACGAGTGAGCAATGCCAAGAATTACATGCAATGACGAAGATTTCCATCAGAATAATAAATTATAACATCAAAAAACTAGAAAAAACAGGTACAAATGACCATGCAAGGGGCAACGAATGACCAAAAATAGTTACCGAATTCGCAGCACGGGCGATAGGTCAGTATATTCGCAATGATTCTATGATTTCGACGAAAGCTATAGCCACCAAACTAATAGAGAAAGGAGTTAAGGTCTCTTACAAGTCAGTTCAACGGCATCTGACAAATGCCGGATATAAAAATAGTCTTCCTAGAAAGACTCCAATACTCACTGAGGCTCAAAAATAAGCACGCGTTGAATGGGGACTCGAACACATCGAAAACGACTGGAAAAAAACATTCTTTACGGACGAAACAGCCTTTCCAAAAGATCGCAAAAAAATTATGGCGTGGGGTGAATTTTTTGAGGAAAATCGGTTTGCACTGTTTCACAGAGACAATGGTCGCTAAGTTTTACGTCAACATTCTTCGTGAGCACATGCCTGAGGTGGAGGGGATGCTTGGTACTCAATGGCAGTGGCAGCAGACAACGATCCGAAGCACACAAGCTGCCTTGCCAAGGGTTTTCTTCAAGAAAGTGTACCGGAAGTTAGTCAATGTAAATATAAAAACTCACGAATAATTAACGTTAAATAAAAATAAATTTTAACTTAGCTGATAATACGGAGTAGCGGGAAGGAACTGCTATCTTAAGATCGGCAAATTACTCCCTTTAAATCCGCTATTCCAATATTCGTTTTCTACTTAACCGGCCTGAGCCTACTTCCATATGCTTTAATCTTCATTTTTATCTAAAATAAAAAAGAATGTTTATTATGCTATTTTGATGATTTTTCCATTAAAAAAATATTTTTTTGTACCTTTTGGTCTTCCCACATATAAAGTTTAAAGTAAAATGAGCAGGCATTAAAAGAAAAGCCAAAGAGTCACCACCAAATGGCCATCATGAAACTCTTTGGAGGATAGTGAACTCAGCTTGCTCACCGCCAAATGGCCGTCATGAGCATACTGGCCTTTTCATTATAATGACAAGCAAGATCACCGCCAAGTGGCCGTCGTGACCTGGCTTGAGCAAAGTTCACCTCCCAGAGACTCGTCGCCAAAATGGCCCGCCAAATAGCCGTCTCATTTTACTCAGGTATTCTTATCATTATAAAATAATTTTTCAACTCGCGGTTTTATTGGCTGTCAAAATTTTCAATTGATCAACATGTTTACCTAATTACATCACATTACATCATATTACATCACATGCTGAATGGCCGAATCATATTGGGCGCACCTCGGTACACGTTTTGACACGTCGCGTCTCTTTTTTCTTAACTAAGTCTATTGTTATGGGTCACGTGGGTGACGCGATTTACGCGTAACGGTCTAGAATCCAAAAACCCGAAAGTCTGGCATGAAAGATTGAGTGTCGCAAGGTAAGAAACTATAGATAAGGCTCGGGTACTGATAAGGGAATTATGTGTATCTGAAAAAGTATGGAAAGTTTAGCAAAGCTTAGGGTTAGTATAGTCGATTATAAAGTAGATAGCCCATTGTTAGTTAGAAAAGTATAAATAGCTTACCAATGTATGCCGAAAAGGCAGAGCTGAATGTGTTAGGAAAAACAGCCCTCATTGAGAATAGAGATAAGAGTTAGTGATATATCAAAGAAACAGAACGCAATAAAGAGACACTTACCTTCGGCCAAGTCAATCACCACGCCTCTGCCTTCCCTAAGTGTTCTTTATAGGAGGCGTTCTCTTCTTTGTGAGTATTTAAGACGTCTGGGTTACGTGAGGCGCTACGGATTAACGACGGACTCGCCCACGACACTATAAATATGGATTCAAATTTCAAAACCTCACCCAAAAAAATTATTACTGATCCCTGGTCGTATTGTGTTGATGCTGCTAATACAGAAGACTTGATTCACTCATACTTTAATGCCGTGCAGGCAAGATTTTGGACCTTCGAACATTACATTAACTGGGTATATGAGAATACTGAACTTCCTATTTGGACCGCATGTGTAGAACAATTTTACGGATCTTTGCGTGCCATCAATAAATTTAGAACAGTACCCCTTGGCGTTCGAGCATATGTGAAAAGCGTCGTGGACAATATGAATGTAAAGTATCTATTGTTTTGTCTTGCTAGTAGAGTACTTATGAATTTATGAATTAGGAGACTGAAAGCAAAGATACAATAGATGCCTTAGAGAAGATATATCTAGCACTAGTAAAGGAATGACGGGATAAAAGCCTTTACAAGGTTTGTGATTGTTATTGCTTATTGATGCAGAATAGACAGAAACTCACGCGCATAGTTTATAATGTAAAATAGACCATGCTACATGCAAAATCTAATAAGAAAGCATATGCTGAAGCCACTGGTGTGGTTAGTTCGAAAAGGCAAGTGAAAAGAAAAACAGGTGATGAAGAACCAACGAAAGTAACAGAAGACTCAGAATCTGTTCTCTTTGATGAGTCGAATGAAGACGCTTTAATTGATGCTATAGATGAATTTGGATTGAAAGAAGAAACAATATTGGCAATTTTAAAAAACAATTCTTGGTGTAAGTCTTTTTGTTCTATTCAAGACTTGATAATTACATTCTCAGCATTCAGATTCAAAAATGGTAATAGTCTTCAAAGCAAGAATTTTTACGCAAGATTTCTGAGAAATCTAATAAATATCAGACAAAAATTCCGAAGACGCGTCGAATAATAACGTGTTATTATTTCAATATGATAAAATTGTTCGTCCTTAAATTTTGCTTGTTATTTAATAGATTAGGGTCTTGGGGCATCCTTGACTTAACGCAACTAAGTCTCTATGGGTGTACGGAGTTTTCCCAAAACGAAATTAATGAAATCTCGCAAGATTTTGCCAATCACGTTTGTTGGTCACCACAGCCAACTCCAGAATATCTTCAACAATATTTTGACTCCAATTGCGATCCAGCCAAACTTAAGGACAATGCATTTTTTGAAAAAATACACACGAATATACAATTTATGTAAGGATTGACCTATTGTTTATGCGATTTACTCTGACATCTAATTAAAGTTTTTTATTAGAATCTATAATATGTCTAAAACGGAAGAACTTAAATTTACAATGATGTATCCTTTGTTTAATGCAGTTATGGACCCTTCATTGGTGACAGATTCATGGTACATCATTGTGTATTGACTTACAAACAGATAGAATGCGTAGTACTAAGATATTTATAATTGTTGATATAGGGGAGAGATCCAGGCACTTGGTTCAAAAGACTCTAGGAATGAAAATGCAGATCCTTTTGTCAAAGCTCGTATGGGAAGGAAAGTAGGTATGAAAGGCATCCTGACAAGAACTTTCAATAAGTTTGAAGCATTATACGGTGAAGTGGCATGCGGGCTATGTCCACTTGGCATGTCACTTGCTTCACAGAAAAATAAGTATTTCGATAAGTCAAACTTGCAGTATTAATGCGAGACTCTTTAAATTGTGTACTCAAGAAGTTGAACCATTTAAATGATGAGCGAAGAAAAAAGTCAATTGTATACGGATGGACGCTTGCAGGTAGTTTCATTCTGACAGATATACTGTATGTTCAAATTATTTTCTGGACTCTACTATATAAGTAATTATCACAGGATTGGAATTATCTCTATACGGTATGGACTGGGTCGGGAATGGTATGTATCGCTTTGGATCGATAGATAGTTGTTCTCTTCCATCTAATAAGGAAGATTGTGCATTATTCGAAGGTGTTTTTTGCCTTTTGAAAGAATTGGAGATATGTGGATTGCTCTTCCTATTGTTATTAATCAATCTGCCGGCGTTCAATTCATCTGGTTTTGTGCAGAGAAAGTTGACCGAAACACAAGAAGAAATACAAACATTACATTACGAAAACATGCGTGGAAAGTGTAGACAAAAAACTAATGAGAATAGCCCAGACCTCAATATTAATAATTGACCTGCTATTTGTTTTTTCCAATTTTATTTTAATATATAACATATTACTATAAAATGATGAAAATAAATGTAACTAAGTCTTTTTTACCTCTGCATTATAAAAATCATATTAAAGCAAAAAATAGCACATCTCTCTTTATTTCATAAAAAATTGTTGCCGGAATGACAACGAACAGATATAACATATAATATATTTTTGCTATACAATAAAAAAATACAAATAAAAAAAAATATATACCCTCAAAGAGGTACCCTTAATGGGCTGTTGGTGGGGCTTAAATTTGATCTAACGCTTCTTGAGCATCACGGGGATCCATATTTCTCCAACCATAATTTCTTATACGTCTTTCTATAGATTCTTCCGAAAGTGGTATCCAATAATCACCTCCCTCAATATAATACTCATCGTCTTGTAAGATACCATAGGTCGAATTATCTGATTTGAATAAAATTCTACTACATAAGTGCTTATATGCTTCGAGTATATGTAAGAAGGTGGAATTTTACTTACCATTTCTGTTTCTCCTATTATTACGTGAATTACATTGGCTAGATCTTGGATTGGGCGGTGTTGGGGGAGACAAGAAGGTCTCGGAGAAGTTATTGTCATTAGTCGTGGAAGTGGTGGTGTTATTACTCATGGTGGTGACGTTATTATCATTAGTGGTGTTTTTTTATTACTGCTCATTTTTCGTTCCTAAATAAATATATATATATATAATAAGTAAAAATTCAGTTTCATAATCTTCGTTAAATAAAATATTACATTACTTTAAAAAAAAAAATACAGGTAAAAAATATACGAGCAAAAAATATTATTATAACCCACCTATAAGAAACAAAAACCGCTTATTTTTTATACCGTCCATTCTCTAGATCTAAAAAAACTTGTAGTAAGGTAACGCAATCTAGATCCCACCATGGAAAGTAAGACTATTCGGTCATTAAGTCCTAAATGCTGAATCTATTTTCCTTTGGTTGAAATTTGGCTCCTTAGATTTTGCAGATCACTCAGAGTAAGCCAGATCTTGGAGATTGCGGAGATTCGAAGTCCTTGTAACATATGAATTTCGGTAAAACTACTGATTAAGAATGTTGCCCTCTTCCCTCTTATAGTCCTTTTAAATCCCATTCGTGTCTTTTCTTATCGTAAGATTGTGTATAATAAAGTTTCTTATTCGTTTGGTCAAACATTTTATCATGTGATGTTATTACATTAGTAAAATATACTTACAATTGCTTCCAAAAGTTTGAGTCCACTTACTATGTTTTTATTATAAATTTCAACTTTAACAATTTTTAAATTTTTAATTATAAAATCAAAAATTATAAAATTCTTATATCTTAATACTAGTTTTATTTATTATATATTTTTTAAAAATTTTCTAAATGTAATTTTTAAAATTTTATTATTGTTAAATTATTTTTAAAGGATTTTGATTGTCTATTATTATAAATCATATAATAATTAATAAAAAAATAAAGATATTTAACAATAACAAAACTTTAGAATATATTAATAAAAATTTTTTAAAAAAATAAAAGAAATAAAATAAGTATTAATAATTTATAAATTGTTAAAGTTGAAATTTAAATAAAAAATAGTAAGTGGATTTAAATTTTTGGAAGCCACCATATAACATGTTTATAGGTGGCAATCAAATATTAGATGGCTATTTGAAATAATTATTTGATAATTAAAACTATTTTGATTCTAATTATTATTTTGTATTTTATTTTATAGTAGTAAATTGTAATTAATAATATTTTTTTTAATTTTTTATCAGACTAAGTATATATGCTTTATTAAATATTTTGTATAATTATATTATAAATATATTGCTAAAGCAAAATCTCCTAATATAAAACTCTTTCCGCTGATCCTAAATTTCCTTAAAAAATTTCCTTTTTCGGTAATTTTCTTGGAAAACTCAGAAGCCA